CCGGGCGAGCAGGGCGGGAGCTGCGTACCCGGCAGCCACAATCCGGAACGCAGTGCTGCGCTGCACCGGTGCGAATTTAAACAGAACCCGCCCCCGGGCTGCCTCGAGCTCCCGAACCTCGGGCGTGGGAGAGGGAAGGGTCGGGACTCGAACCCAGCTTGCAGGAGCGTCGGGGGTAGGCGCGCGATGCGGCTCCCAAACGAGCCCCGCGCGGCGCCGGTGGGCGGGAAGCCCGAAAAGTGGCCCCCGAAGGACACACAGGTCACCCCAAGCGTCGCTGCCCTGGGTGTCTTGGCCAGACTCACCGATGAAGACCCAGAGGGCCGCCGGGCTTTCCGAGCTATTTTGCTTAGCTCATTCGCAGCCTCGGAGGAGGAAAAGAAACCCCGAGGAAGACGGCGGACGGGGATGAGGAAAGGAAGGGGACAGCTGGGCACTTTCCCGGAAGTGTGGTAAGGAGAAAGGGGTTTGCCGGACTAAGTGCCAGCGCCACCTCTATTCAGCAGAGCACACCGAGCCGAGCTGTCCCGTCCCTGCGACGGAGAACACTGCCTCTTGGAAGAGCCGCAGCGGGAGCGGAGGACGAGGCAGCGGGGTGCGGTGACGAGCTCCACCTCCCTCTTCTCCCCTGACCTGTATCCAGCCCGCTAGGCACTGTGTGAGCTGACGCCCAGCTTCCCCAGGGAGAAGAGCGCTTTGTCCAGATAGCGCCAGTGAATCACCCCAGAAGTCACAAGGCTGCGCCTTGACAGAAGTAGCCCCACACATCACTGTCTTGGTCGAAAGCCTTGCCTTGTCTGTGCCATGAAGTGATTTCCATTAGGGGTCAGCGGAGGTCCGAATGCCTCTAATTCCCCTCCCTGCTTGGAGAACTGAACTCTGCACATAAATCTGGGCACCCTGGCCGCCTGGCTCAGACCAGGCTCTGACCGTGCAAGACCAGTCTGCGCCTTCCTTCATCGGCCCGAGTGTGGCTGCATTGGAGACGTGCACACGCACACACACGTGCGTATACTCACACAGGTTCCCGTACAGAAAGTGTGCGAGGCTGAGACATCAGACTAGCAAGTCATACGGGGTGACCCTGGGTGAATCAGGACAATGTGAAATGACAAAGGGGAGCCTATGCCATCACACTCTCTTTGTGACATTAAAAATAAAATGAAAAATATACCTGCCATAAAAATACATAAAATAGAAATTCAGAAGCCAGGCATGGTGACGTGGGCCTGTGGTCCAGGTGCTCAGGAGGCTGAGGCAGAACCAGCCTAGGAAACAGAAAAATTCTGTTTCAAAAAAAAAGTCCAGGAATGATGATTTCAGTATCACTGGTTGGGGGGATGCAAGCCTGGGGAAGGACAATCTGGTTACACGTAGGTCCTGGCTTTGGGGTCGAGGTCCTAGTTTGGGGGTGGTTACTACTAAAATTATTAAGTTTTATTTGCACAACAGTACAAATGTATTAAATGCTACTGAAGTATACATTTGCAAAGTGCTGCAATGAGCCCAGCATAGTGATGTGCATTTGTAGCCCCAGCCATGCAGGATGCTGGGGCAGGAGAATCTCTGGAGCTTAGAAGTTCAGGAACTGCCTGGGCAACAAAGCAAGACCCTGACTCAAAAATTAGCACTTGACTAGCATGTGCAAGACCCTGGGGTCAATCCCTAGTACCACCACCACCAAGAGCAAGAAACAAGTAAATTATTTCCAATTTGCCATAATGTTAAAAAAATAATGCCTAAGGAACTAAAGAAAAAACAAGGCAAATCAAAAAAGAAAACATACTGACAACTCATTAAATAAAGATAGACTGTACAGAGACAGCTGGTGAGAATATCTTTTTCCCCTTCGTCTCACTCTGTGCTCCAGATTGGCCCTGAACTCACTATGTAGCCCAGGCTGGCCTTGAACTCAGGGCGATCCCCCTGCCTCGACCCCCGAAGTGCTGGGATGACAGGTGTGTGGCACCTCACTTGGCTTGGAGAATGTATTCCTCAACAGAGATTTCATAAGTGCCCCCAGAGGTGTATTTGCAAAATAGCAATTAAAATGAACCAAGGCAGTGATGCCGAGGAGGTCACGTGCGAGAGTGTGCCTGTCCTGTCCTATCTGCCCTTACCGAGCCTGAGACTACACAGAAACCACTTTTTGTTTAAGAGCAGAAGACAGTGGTGCGTGTCTGCTGCGCACCACGTGCCTTTTCCATCTCCCGCACCTGTCCCCCGGAGTCCCCTCACTCCGCCTAGCAGGTCCCCTTTCCACCTTTGTCCCCCGCCACAGCCCCTTCTGGTCCCAGAGCTAGCTCCTTCCTTCCCTTCTAGGTCCACATGGCTCAGCTCAGGGCGAAGGGCTTGTTCACCTTCTCCTGATCCAGAAATGGTTGCCATCAGATGACCGGGGAGTCACAGGTCCCTGAGGGGCCGTGGAGTCGGCACAGCCCACTGCTATGGGGGTGAGATAGCCCCAGACAGTCTTGACCAGCACTGAGTGTCAAGGGCTCTCAGGAATTCTGCTAAGGGAGTCTTTGGCTTCCCCCTTGCTCCTTAGGATTTCATATTAGTGAACATTGTCTCAAAAGAAAATGTCTTTTTCCAAACCAAGTGGAAAAATTCAAAATGATCTGACGTCAAAGAGAAGATCAAATAATAAATGCTCGACATTTCGTGAGCACCTATGATGTTATATGACAGTTATCTGATTTAAGCCTCAGGCTGGCCTTGAACTCACTCTATAGTCCACAGTGGCCTCGAACTCACAGCTATCCTCCTGCCTCAGCCTCCTGAGTGTTAGTATGCACCACCACACCCCTTGACCCCTGGTGGCTTAAAAAAACAAAATGAAGCCACAGAAGCCCAGACTGGGGTCTTCCATAGTCACATAACAAACAGCTGTCTAGTTTCTGTCCTATGTTCAACTTTTTGGATTGCTTGTATTCAGCTGCAGTGTGTGTGTGCATTTCACGCTTGTTTAAAAGCTACACACCTGTAAGGAGTGTATACTTGCTTTTACGGGGTACAATTCTGAGTTGTAGAATAACCAAAGTAATGTAAGAGAACTCCAGGGGCCCAGGGAGGTTTTGCTCACTAATGTGGGTCTGCAAGCTGTGTAAGATGAAGCCCCAGCTTCGGGTCAGAGACCCCAGAAAGGGCCTCCAGTTAATAGAAGCAGATATGGGATTTCTTGGGCGGGTGCCGGACAGCTGCGGGACTGCAGGAGAGGCAGGAAAGCTGGCCGGAGGCGCTCAGGAGGTGGGTGGGGCAGAGGTACCACGGGAGCATGGGGTAGAGATAGACCTGACCCAGCATGCAATTCGGCCCTGCAGCCGCTGGCACTGCCATCCCAGAACTCAGCCACTCTTCCAGAGTGAAGGCCCTGGGAGCAGGTGGGGCCACATGCCTGTCACCTCAGCACTCTGGAAGGCTGAGGCAGGAGGATCACAAATTTGAGCCCAGAGTGGGGTACTTAGTGACTTAGCAAGTCCCTGTCTCAAAGTAAAAAGCAAAAGCTGGGGGTGGAGCTCAGCAAAGGCCTGGGATGAATCCCTAGTATTACAGGGGCAAAAGAAAAAAGAGTTAAGGCCCTGGGCAGGAACACTGCAACAGCCAAGCCACCCTCCCAGCCCTGGGACAAGTCTTTCTGTCCCTTTATATTTCTGTCCCCACACCGCAGAGAATCACCACAGTATGAAGGGCAGCTGGACGCTGGGCTCCCCATGTTCACTAGACGTGTTCCCGTGAGACCTGCGCCCACCACCAACTCCTGATGTCCCTGCAAACTTGGAGCCGCTGCAGGCACCGAATCCAGCCAGGGGTCACTGGTGTCACTGGGCAGCACCCAAGAGCCCTGCTGTGGCCTAGAGCCGCCAGCCACACCCAGAACCACGCCAATGCCCTGTCCAGTGGCCCTTGTGACAGTGGGCAGAGCAGGAGGGGACCTCACCCCAACAGGGTCATTTCACAGCCTGGGAAACCTGAGGTTCCCTGGGGGAAATTTTCCCATCTATACCCATGTTTTAGCTGTTTATAAAACACTTGGACAGCAGCACTTGGGAGGCCATGGGGAAGCTGCTGACCATGCACTGCTTTCTTTGCGGATTTCTGCCCCCAGGAAATGGGGTTTTCTCCCTTCTTTTTCAGTGGCACAGGGGTGTCGGGAGCCCCCTACAGGGCTTCGACAAGGCCCACCCCACCCCACCTCCCTGCCTCAGCCGGCCGGACACACTCCCTTCCCACTGCAGTCCACCCACTCTGGCTTCTGGGCCACTTTTGCACAGGTCCAGGTCTGCTCCCTGCCACTGGCCCTTGGCACTGGCCATGTCCTCCTGTCACATCTGTGGAGTTTGCTCTCCAGGCTTCCTTACAGTTTCGCCCGTTGTGGGTCTTCTCACTTCCAGACATCTCACCCAGATGGCCCTGGCACCAACGCCCTCAGCCACCCTGTTGCTGCTGGCCAGGGAACCTGTTAGTGTGTGTATGTCATCATCTCTTCCCATGAGGGACGAGACAGAGACTTCCCGCTAATCCTGCGGCCCAGCATGTAGTAGGCCCTCGACAAACCATGCATTGAGGACTGGGGTGTCATTGCTCAGTGGCAGGGTGCTTGCCTGGCATGCGCAGGACCCAGGTCTGCTGCCAGCATGGCCAGCGACAACAGAGCAGCTGGGTATCGAGGGCGCTCTGCACACAGCTGCCATTTAAAGAGTGTCAAGCATTGTCACAGAGCGACGTCACACTAGGCCACCTTGGCAGCCTGAGGGAGAAGCAGAAAGGGGGAAACAATGACCTTCAGACTCTACAACTACTCACCACCTCCTTTTGGTTCTTTTCCTTGTTCTGTTTTGTTTGGTTTGAGACAGAGACTCGCTATGTAATTCAGGCCAGCCTTGAACTCGCGGTGGTCCTCCTGCCTCAGTTAGAACTCCTGCCTCCTGAGTGCTTATTTGCCTTTTCTCTACAAAGAAAAGAAAGCATTGCTGTGTTCACAGATTTAAAGGTGCTAAAAGAACAGATGTGAAATGTCCTCACCACAAAGACATGATAAGTAGGCAAAGGCAGGAATATGGCAATGAACCTGGTTTATTCATTCTGCAATGTGTATGCCTGTGGGCCCCATGAACACACAATTATTATTTGCAATTAAAATTTAATTTATTTTTATGGTGCTGGGGATCGAAGCCAGGGCCTTGTACATACCAGGCAAGTGTCTACACCATGCTACATCCCCAGTCCCCAAAATGAAGCACACACATGTGCGGACACACACACACACACACACACACACACACACA